AAGCTTTGGGGGGGGGGGGTTGTCAATAGAACAGGTGAGATATATTATTTCAAGGTGTTTCCATTTGTGTTTTTTACCATGTGATTCCAGGGTTAAGCATGAATAGAAAGAAAGATGGGGCCATTGACTGAAACAAGAAAATCAGGAGAAAGATCTGATTTGGGAGGGAAGCTTATGAGTCTAGCTTTTAAGCTGTTGTAATTAAAGACAAGGAGAGATGCAAAGAGAACGGCATTGCTGGAGAAATGGCAGGACCCCTGAAGAGGCAATTTGGAAGTAATCATCGTATCATTAAGATACGATGTTTTCCCTTAAATTCAGGCAACTTAATGTGAACCAGGGTTGTGATAAATGTCACTAAAATTTATTTTCTTTGCAGCGCTTTCATATTTTTGTTCATCAAAAGCAAAATACCAAATAACACGTATTCTGTGGACACCACACCATTAATAACAGAGCATGTGAGTAGAGAATGAGAACCACCTTGATCTGAAACATATAATTAAGACAAAAGGAAAATGCATGAATTTGAACGCAGATAAGAGGGTAATGGGGTATTTTTTTAAATCAGGGCTATCTGAAATATTTTAGCATATTTATTATGGCTAGGTCTATGTAGCAATCAATATTTCCACGGTAAAGATGCTCAACAGACACAGAGGTCCACTTCTTTTTATTAACAGTAGATCCCTACTAGGAGATGTGCACACAGGCCCATACTTTGGAATAACTTAAGGATTTCCGCAGTACGGGAACGCTGAATACTGAAGAGGAACATGAAAGTGACTTTAGAAAGGGGGAGGAAGGAGGCTTTAAAGTAGGATTGGGAGAGGGCAGGGGCCACAGATAAGACAAAGCCAGTGAAAGGGTAAATCACACGAAAGTGGGAATTAGACTTGACTTTCTTCTATTTCTCTTTTCTGCTGCATCCCATTCCACTCAAAGGTGAAGATAGGAAATATGTAAGGAGTCACTGTTTTGACCCCGAAGAACATAAGTTAGTCTGGAATAGCAAGTCTAGGTTAAACAGGGGCCACCTTTACAAGACAGCCCGCAGCACTAGTGCCAGTGGCTCCATATACAGAAGTGGTTCCGGGGGAAAACCGCCACGGCCATGAGCACAGACTCCAGCGCCGCGGATGCTGAGTGTCTCGTGCGCCTGCCCAGGGCCCAGTGCTGGCTGCCGCCCTTGAAATCCCACCTCCCACCCACACACTGAGGCGCTGCCTCCCTGGGAGGCGTTGCCTCTACTCCTTACTTCAAAATGAATTGTTTCTTCCCCTATCAAAACTCTTATCAACTAAGGTGACAGAAACCTTAGTTAAATTGACACTAAAGTCAAATAATAAGTAGCTTAGGTGTTAGAGGAAAGAGATGTATTGATCCATAGGCCTCTCTGATCAGGGAGATGTTTCAGAGAGAATGAAAGAGTGAGACGGGGAGGTGTCTGGTATTCCTTGCTCACTTTAGGGACCCAGATACCTCCTAACCAACTTCCCTGCAAACAAAGGGGGAAGAAAGGAAAATAAATGCAACTTGGTAAAAGCTACAGAGCAGGCTAATGGCCTTAGATTTTTCCATCAAGATGGAAGTATGTAAGCAAACTTAAGTTTAAAGATACACAAAAAGTATTGGTTACGATGCTGCTATACATCACGAGCTGCTCGTGGGGTGAGAAAGCATGATTGCCAAAGGAAAGTTTGATTTAGCACATAATGAAGAATTCAAATGTACAATAGTTTCTCATCTCTTATGAAAGCATTAGAAGTATGGCATCAAGGAAACTTCAGCTACGAGACAAAGATGATTACATTCAATAGTAGAAATATTATGAATTTGCTCATAACTTTTCCTGACTTAGAATATTAGCTAGAATATTAGCTAATCTCAAAACAAGGCTGGAAATGTTTTGTTAGCTAATTTAGTTAAAGAATCTGGATAAAAATATGTCTATTGATCTTAGAAGAGTCTAAGTTCTAATTTCTTTACAAGTTATTAAAATTTGCAAATAGAATGCAAGCATTAATAACTTTTGTTAACTTTGACAGGTGTATCAAAGTAGCCATTTAATAAACTGTGAAAAACATTTAAACAGAGAGGTTGCCCACTGCCAGACCATTCTGAGTGAAAGAGAAACAGAATCAGAAACATCTGAGTCTAGAGATGCCCACAGAATCAGTGTGCAGGGTGACATGGTCATATTTTAAAGTGCGTTTGAGAGAGAAGAGAAAAACGCTGAAAATCTTCTTGTCACCAGTGTGGTTATCAACTGAATGCTGTTTTCCTACTGATTTTTGCCAATGTTTTCAATAGGTGGTTAACAAAACTCAAGACCCCGATCCTGAATATTCCTGGGTGGATAAACTTTCTACAGTGCAAAACCGCTTAGTGTAAGAAGAGGTTCTCTTATTCTGTTTTATATTTGGTTAAAGCAAGAGTGAAGTAATATTCATCTGAGTTCAAGACGAAAATGGTAACACAAGCTTTGACTTCCTAGCTCCATGGTAGAGAGACTTTCAGGTCGCTTGCTGAATTTTAAGGTACAGAGGGCCTCGGTTTCAGTGCTCCAAGGAATTCCTAAGCCACTGCAGTGTCTCTGCCAATAAGTAGCTGACAAAGCAGTCTCATTTTGCAGGACTTTCGTGCCTAAAGTAAAAGTAAAGTTAAAAAGAAAAAAGAAAAAGCAAAGTAAAGTAAAACCGTAGGCCACAGAGTATAATGGCCAGTATGCTCCCAGCCATTCCAATCAAATTAGGTCCACGTCTCCATTACATTACCCAGGATGCTCTCCACTGGAAATCCCTCCACTCGTGTGTCAGACAGTTTTATAATCCCAAGATAATTATTGTCAAATATAGTAGAATATTTTGTGTCTGTGTAGGTCCTAGCGCCCACCCCCAGTTCTTTGTATCAAGACCAGGAGAGTTAGGCTCAATGACAGCCCTTATATTTTAGGGTTTTGGGGGCTGGCAAAGAAATATGAGAATGTTTATGTTTTATGTATGAAAATTTTGTATATTTTATATAAGAAATATGGATATGTAATAGTATGTAGCTTGCATTTTTCAGTTGAGGGCTGTTTTAGACCTCCTGTGGTGACACCTCAAGAATAGAAGGCATGTCCTCTGTTAGTATATACAATGACCTCACAGTGGGAAAGAGGCAGTACTGGGAGCATAATAGATGCTCAATAAATATTTGAATAAATGGAATGAATGAAAGAATGAACTAACCCACACGCTTTGGAAGAAATAAATATGTTGCTATTTTTGCTTTGGAATAAAATAGATATATCAAACAAATCATTTTTCACAAAGCATTGCCTTTGTTAAGGGAATATTTGTTAAGAAGAATGTTTTCAGTTGTCTCATTGGCCAGCCTAGTCTATTAGTCTGGTCCGCATTTGGGACCCTCCTCCAGGACCAGATGGTCTAGGCCTCCCCAGGATGCAGGGGTTTCCATCACGAACAGAGCTCACTGGCCATGTGAGTGCCTACAGTCTCATATTCCTTAAAACACCACTAAAATAGACTTCTTTTTTTGGGGGGGCCACACCCCACGGCATGTGGGATCTTAGTTCCCCAACCAGGGATCGAACCCATGCCCCCTACAGTGGAAGCGTGGAGTCTTAACCACTGGACCATCAAAGAAGTCCCTAAGCATTTGTTTTCAAGCTTGGAAAGGTATGGTTTTTGCCTAAAACTCTTTCCTGTTTCATGCTATTGTCCTTTATATTAAGCCAAAGGGATTGTTGCAAAATATTAATCACCTCCCTGCCAAAACCATTGGAAACGCTTGCTTCACGCAGATATGGCCCAAGTCTGAGGGATCAACGTGACCCTAGTGCTTAAGGCAAAACATTTTCTTCTTACAGAAAGTAATGTTTTACTTGAAATATTCAAATTATTTTGTTAGGGAGTTCCCTGGCGGTCCAGGGTTAGGAGCTGGTGCTTTCACTGCAGGGGGCCCGGGTTCAATCCCTAGTCTGGGAACTACAATCCCACAGGTCGTCGGCACAAAAAAAAAAAAAAAATGTTTCTTAAATTATGTTATTAAATCAGCACTTCCCCTTGACCATGCCTAAGACATAGGCGAGTCTATGGATCTCAGTAGTTGTTTTGAACAAACGTGTGTTTGGTCCTTAGTCTCTTCTAGTCATTATTATTATCTGTGCTATTGTCACCGAGGGTTTAAAAAAGAAGCATAGGGCATGGTGTCAGTCTACAAATACTGCATAATTTAATGAGAGAGCCAGGTTTATTTATGTCGCCTGTAGAATATGATGGCAATATTCTCACCTACGTAATGACAATTTATCATGATAATCCACTGCAGCATCTGTAAATCATGTCCTTCCACCATTAGATGGTGGAGGACTGAAGCTGCATCACAGCAGGGTGGCATCAGGTACCTTGACCCTGCAGGACACTCCTGGGGCTTTTGCTTGTCACCCCGCTTGAGATAGATGGGTGATTGCTACATAATGCCTTGTGATTTCCATTTTGAAGCATGCTTTTCATATGATTCCATGTGTGCGTTTGGCAGAAACATTGCTTTGGGCCCAGATGAATAGTGATTTATTTGTTTTTAAGGGGCTGCAGTCTCGCGGTAATATCTGGAATACTCTATGGATCTACATTTGTGCCAATCATTTACATCAAGGACCACAGCAAGAGAAATGATAGTATATATGCAGGGGCAAGTCAGAACGGTGAGAGGAAAAAGTTATTTTACTTTATAAATAAACTCAATACCCACGTTTCTAGTTAAGAGTATAAAAAGAATGGCACTGTGGTAGGTATTGGTACATAGATTTGTCGATGAAAATTCAATTAACAGTCAAGTTAAGAAGCAAAAAAAGGGAATTTTATCTGAGCCAAACTGAGGATTATAACCCAGGAGACAGACTCTCAGAAGCTCTGAGAACTGTTCCGCCTGTTAAAAGGCAAACACACTGTCATATGCTTTTTCGAGACAAAGGATCGTACATCAAAATGACATACTGATATTTTACATAAAGTTCACCAAGGCTCCATAGTCCAGGTGAGCATCTACAAAGGAGCAGCAGGTCTACAGAGCTGGGAAAGAACACTTCTTTTAAGAAGTTATTATACATTGGTAGCATCAGAAGCAAAAAAGAAATTGATCTTTACGGTCAAGCAAGCACTCCCATTTTTAGAAGCTCCAGTTAAAAGTGTAATGCAGATTTATACCTCACATTAGGGAGGGAGGAAGCCCAGACAGACACAGAGAGAATTTTATGTTTAGATTTTCTCGTCGTGCCTTAAAATAAAATTTCATTTCATCAGATTTGATCTTATTTTGTCATTGCAAGTGGTGAGTTAGAAAGGCACGGGAAACTAAAAAAGAAAATAAAGGACTGTTTGACTATTTTCATGTGATCTTTAACATACAAATAGAATCAATTTTAGTCAGGATTCATTTCAGCTACTTGGATCTTAACACATAGTTTCTGGCTTTACTGCAAGATTTGGAGATTATTTTCCAGTTTGATGATCTCTAGGAAAATATGTATTCTTTAAAAAACAAAAGCAAAAAAACCCCTGAAGTGTAGCACATAGTACTTTAAAATCAAATAAACGTCAAAGTATAGCCTGCTTAGTATATTATTTTTCGAGCACAGAGTAACGCATTGAAAGGCCCAATGTAATGCTGCCAAATTACCTCAGTTTCTAGCGCTAGAATTAATGTCTCAAGACGTCACTTCCGCACAATGTGCAACAGACTTCTTCAGGCTCTGAAGGAGGTGAGAGTGTCTAATTCAGGATCCTGTGATTATACTGAAACGTGGCTTACACCCACGAAACGATAAAAGAATGATATCGTGGTTAAGACAGTTCTACATCCATGGCACAGAAAATGAATGTCATCTGTGATCCGATAAGGGAGACTCTTCTGGAGGGCAAGTCATGAGGCAAAGATTGATGGAGAAGCTGGGATTTGAACTCTAAATGAGCAGATAGACTCTGAGTGACTACCATGGCCTGTTTCTTCCTTTTTATATTCAGCCCCACGAACAGTACTCAAACTTTTATTAATTTCTGTCTTTTTTTAAAGATTTTATACAAATACCTTTTGTATTTTTATTCTTTTCATTTTAAAGGATAAAAACTAATAAAAGTAGAATAGCATAGGATAAATTAAGAGAGAAGGAAAAAGAGTGACAAAATAAAAGAGCCATGAATGAGTCGAAAAACTGTGCTACACTTGTACACTTGCTAGTAATGAGTCATAATTTGGCTCTAAGATTTCTTACAGCCACAGAGGAAATCAGATCAGTCCCAGAATTCAGCAAACACAAGATAAAAACAACTAATTGTTCAGGGGTACAGTTGTTCTTGGTTCTGGGACATAATAAACAATGTCCTCAACAATCTCTTCCCATAAATAGTACAATCAGTTCTTAGGGATCTTTCTTATGACAACTCAGATGTCATCTGATAGAGATACACTTTATTCCAATTTATTCAAAAATAATTCAAGGGGGCATATTTTTTTAATGTCACTTATTTAACAATCACATAAATGGTATATGCTCTGTGCTGGTCACTTTTCTAGTTACAGTAATAACTCAAGGGACCCTCCTAGCAACCTTACTGGTTGGATACCATTATTATTCCGGTTTTACAACTGAGAAAATTAAGACAGAGAGAGTACGCAACTTACCCAAGTCTCCAAGTTAGCAAGTGGTGGGTTGATGAGTCCCACCAGGTTGTCAGTGTTTTAATCGCTAGATTATGCTGCCTTTTCTGGTGGTCTTTGGGTGGATGTGTTGTGATATGACTCAGAAGTAGGATTTAAGACTTTAGAAGAAGAGACAAACCCTTTGACTTTCAAGATTTTCTGGCTAAACAGGGCCACTCATCTTTCTCCAAATTTAGTTGAGAGAAACATTGAGCCCAGTGTGACCTTCCCAGCCAAGAACCTGCATTATACCCACCTTTTTGGCCAAAGGACCCTCTGCTTTAAATAGTCAGTGGAGTTGGGTTTCTCAGATATTGGGCCACCATCTGTGTTATTAACTCCCCCGTGTAATTAGGTTTATAGAAAACAAATAAAATCCTCTTTGGAATAACTTCCTGAATATCCTTCTGTATAGCTGCCTGGGTAGCTGCCATCTGCAACCTGGAAGCTTGTCTCCAGATTGATCAATACACCATATAAAATTAGCACTTCTAAAATTTTTTTACATACCGTCCCCCAACTACAGTCTACTTGGAGATTTGTACAATGGCTATAGTCATCAGTAAAATTAGGTCTGATACCTGTTCTTAAAAAAGGAGATATGTTCTTTGTTATAAAGCAGAAACTAACACACCATTGTAAAGCAATTATACTCCAATAAAGATGTTAAAAAAAAATTAAAAAGGAGATATTAACGTTATATTCACATAATGTTGTTTCTTATTTAGCTTTCTAAGATAATCATAAAAGCCAGTCTTTTAGATTTGATTATAGTAACTAACTTCTTACTATTTTAAATGTTAATTAAAATTCTATATAAATAACATGTAGATGATGCAATAGAATTAATGCTTCCTTTACATTTAAGGTTGATTTGAGTGAGTTTGTTTTATTCTTAGGACTCTAGATGTATTTGAAATGACTAAACTGATATGCTTGAGAGTTTTCTAACCTGTATTTCCAGATTTAGACTACGTTTTTGCACACTTCAGCGGCATCTTCCTTGCAAGTACAGTCTACTTTCTGGCCTACTGTATAGCCATGAAAAATAATCCTAAACTATATCCCAAAGCAGTCTTGCCAGGTAAGAATATTAACGACAGAAACTCTTCTTACTCTGTGAAAGTATCATGCCCTATTCAGTTAGCTTGAATAATTGTCTTCTGGAAACCAAGCCATTCTCTGTGTGTGTCCTTTTTTGTGTGTCTGTGTACATGTGTTCATTCCCTCAGTGACTTTGGCCCAGTTCACCACCAAATATGAAGGATTTAAAAACCATGAAACTGGGTTTGAAATGCCAAGTCATTATTACAGAACCTAGAACTGGAACAATGAATCTAAGATTGTTTCCTGTGCTGAAACATCTTGTGTATTGAGGATCAGACTTTAGTATTTCTTCTTCACCAACTAAGGATGTATATTAAAAGTCAGAGTCCTGCGGCTCTCTCTATATTTTTATCTATCTATCTATCTATCTATTTATTTATTTATGGCTGTGTTGGGACTTTGATGCTGCCCTCAGGCTCTCTCTATTTGCAGTGATCGGGGGCTACTCTTCATTGAGGTGCATGGGCTTCTCATTTTGGTGGCTCCTGTTGTTGCAGAGCACAGGTTCTAGGCACATGGGCTTCAGTAGTTGTGGCTCGTGGGCTCAGTAGTTGTGGCGCACAGGCTTAGTTGCTCCACAGCTTGTGGGATCTTCCTGGACCAGGGATTAAACCTATGTCCCCTGCATCGGCAGGCGAATTCTTAACCACTGCACCACCAGGGAAGTCCTGTATATATTTTTAAAGTGTCAACAAATACGAATCTCCAAGTCACTTGGGAAAATAAACATTTTCTCCAAAAATTTAGGGGAAATTATTTTTGAGCTTAAAAATGGCATGTTAAATGTACATGCTTTTGAATTTAATCCACAAGGCATTGATGGTAATATATCTGTGTGTGTGTGCATATATATACATACACACACACACATATATAATGAGAAATTACATGTATTATAAATATAATGAGAAATTATCATTTCTCACTTATTTAAAAGTTTGCTATAATTCAATCTGGAATATAGGTCCACAAGTAAAGTCTTTTAAAGAACAAAATAAAGCATATGTCAGAGATTCACTTTGAGTGCCTGATTCATTGAAGACAAAGTGTGCCACTGCACCACTATACCGTTTTAGAAAATGGTAGGATATTCACTGAATGCCTAGCTAAAGTATCAAAACTTTTAGCTGATATTTTTATTCAAATTCTAGGCGTCTTTTTCCCCTTAGCTAAGCATCATTCTGAATTTCACAGATTTTTATGGTCATGGTTTAGAGTAAATGGTGTTTGCCGAATATGGTGTATGCAGAATGGTGTATGCAGAATGGTGTTTGCAGAACAGTATCTTCCCTGGGTCCCCCTCCACTACCCAATCTTTACCTCAACTACTATTTTGGGTACTTGATTTCATGTCAATAAGGTAAAAGGTGATCTTTGTACCCACAGCAGTCAAAAAAAGAGAAATCATTTGGTTTCCAAAATGGTCCTAAAACATGGCTAAAAAACCCATGTTAGCCGTCCGTGTCGATAGGAGTGTGTTGATCTGAGCACTTTAACATTCCCGCTCTACCTGGAGTGTGGATTTTTCAGGAGGGGAGGTGGTTGGTAAGCGTGTGGTGTGTGTGCTTTTCAGGATTCCTGTCTGGAATACTCTGGGCCATTGCTACCTGCTGTTGGTTCATAGCAAACCACTCCCTCAGCGCTGTGGTCAGTTTTCCAATCATCACTGCTGTAAGTAGCTGAACCG